TCTTTTGCAAATTTCCCAATGAGCTCCCTGACCTTTCAAATTGAATGTCTGAATTTGAATATCCAATATATTTCTGTCAGACTTTCTGACAGAGGTTAAAAACTCAAATTCTTCTGAATCATTTAAGTGTAATATGCCTCAAGCACCTACAGGTCAGAGTTTTAGGCCACATTAAACCCAAGGATTGATGTATTTTGACTCTGTGTTTTACCCACAGGCATAGATACATCAGATCATTTAACCAAGTATTTCAGCAGACCTGACAACAAAACCCATGAAGTCAAAAGATCTCAATGCTACAGTAATGACATTGCTATAGTAATTACACTGAGATAGCAGAGTAAGTTTAATATCACACACACACACAAATTCAAAAGCTGGTGTGAACTCAGTCTTATTAGGCACAAGCAAATCTTGTATAACTTAAAAAGAGTCATCAACTACTTTCTTGTTTACATCCCATAGTCATAGATATATAGAAAGGCAGGACCTCAAAGTTGAAAGGGACTACAAGGGGCATCAAGATTGTTGAAGGCTTTCATGGCCGGAAGCACTGGGTTGTAGGTTTTTTCGGGCTATATGGCCATGTTCTAGAGCAGTGGTTCTCAACCTGGGGTCCCCAGATGTTTTTGGCCTACAACTCCCAGAAATCCCAGCCAGTTTACCAGCTGTTAGGATTTCTGGGAGTTGAAGACCAAAAACATCTGGGGACCCCAGTTTGAGAACCACTGTTCTAGAGGTAAGAAGACAAGAGGAATCCTCTCACTTCTGCAGGAGTCTACTGTATACCATGCAGCTGTGGACAAGTCTACACAGGGACCACCAAACACAGCATTGCCCAAACACGAATCAAGGAACATGAAAGGCACTGCAGACTACTTAGATAAGTAGACAACCAGATAAGTCAGCCATAGCAGAGCACCTGGACACAGAATATTATTTGAGAACACAGAAATGCTGGACCACTCCAACAAACACTATGTCAGACTACACAGAGAAGCCATTGAAATCCAAAAGCATGTGGACAATTTCAACAGAAAGGAGGAAACCATGAAAACGAACAAAATCTGGCTACCAGTATTAAAAAACTCAAAAATTACAACAGCAAAACAACAGAAGGGAAACAATCTGGGACATTGAATCGCCTCTCAACAAAAGATTGCCCCAGGCACTAACAAGCCACACCAAACAACAGCCAGGCCATCATATGCTAATCAAGGTGGTCAGTTGAAACATTCACACCTAGCTCCAGCAGAAAAGAGTCCTTTGTCCCACTCTTGTCATTCCACAGATATATAGACCCTTTTTCCTAGTTCCAACAGACCTCACTACCTCTGAGGATGCTTGCCATAATTGCAGGCGAAACATCAGGAGAGAATGCCTCAAGAACAGTGTTTCTCAACCTTCCTAATGCTGCGACCCCTTAATACAGTTCCTCATGTTGTGGTGACCCCCAACCAGAAAATTATTTTTGTTGCTACTTCATAACTGTATTTTGCTACTGTTATATGAATTATAATGTAAATATCCTATATGCAGGATGTATTTTCATTCACTGGACCAAATTTGGCACAAATACACGATATAATCAATAGAAATACTGGTGGGGCGAGGGGGGATTTTTTCATTTGGAAGTTGTAGTTGCTGGGATTTATAGTTAACCTAAAATCAAAGAGCATTCTGAACACCAGCGATGGAATTGAACCAAACTTGGCACACAGAACTCCCATGACCAAGAGAAAATACTGGTTCTGGTGGGCCTTTTGATATAGCGGATGACAAACATATCTTAATAAATATTTAACTTAATGATATTTAATCATGGGTAAACGCCTTATTGACGAATGCCTAATGACCCTTCCCCACACATGTGGGCCACCCAAAATCCTATCCATTCCAGGAAATAAAAAGCACTGAATTAGCTCTGTGTAACTTTGAAAAATATATAATGCTGAAAATGCAAACTAGAGAGGCTGTAATTTCTAATTTTTGATCAATATGATGAATGGCAGATTACAGTGTGGGAGAGGTATTTTGCTTTAACGGTTGTGACCTACAATTTTATTGTTTACAAGTCCAGTTGAAACACAGGGCATTTTATCATAATCATAGACCAACTTAAACAATTATTATATTCATTATACATTTTCTTTAGCATAATCTGAATGCACACTATATTCAGTTTTACCAGTCCTTGTTATTTCAGTGCCATCATTTGCTATTTGCTAATTGGTACCTTTCAAAAACAGAAAGAAGCCTTAGTTATGTGGACCTCCCACATTTAAATGCCTGTAAATTCGTAACATTAATTTTGTCCATAAGTTCAGTTTTCCTGTATATTCTATCAGTCAGTACTTACAGAATCCTTTTATTAAGTTTGTATGTTCCATTGAGGTTGTTAGAAAAATCAACTATGGTAAAAGAGAAAACAACATGTTCTCAAACACTCAAGGAAAGCAATTATTATCCCCATGTTTCTGTAGGTGATCTGTGCATCAGTAAAAGTTGATGGCTTTCACAATGAAGTGGTGAATAGGGTTTAGTCTGAACTTTAACAAAGCTATCCAAGGTGTTGGACCTATATTATGGCATTATGGATAGCTTGTGTAAGATCTGATTAAAATTCGCTGCTCAACTAATGTGAAAGCCACAAACTACTACTGAATTTTGTGTGTTTATCACAAAGAGCCCCAAGAGACATTTCTTGTAGCCTTAGGATAAAGTCACTCTCAGAAGTGAGGTACTATTAAAATAAGGACATCATCACAAAGACCCATGGATTCGACACACATTGGGATGAATCCATGGGCTCCCAGCAGGGGGCATGAAGAACCTGTCACTCCTTGCCCCACATCATGTGACTTGCCTTTCCCCCAACCTATGGGGGGAAGCACTGCCGACTGGTTTTCCCCAATTGCTGGTAAGACAACATGGGAAAGTTATTGTGTTGTCGCAGCAGCGGTATACACTGCTAGCCGTCCCCTTTCTGGATGGAGCCCGGCTCAAAGTACGTGTATGTAGTGTAATGAACTCTGTCCTGAAAGGGGACAACAAGCAGCATATGACAGTCCAAGTAGCCCACCTGATGAGATAGTAAGACTTGTCTGAATGCTTATCTGGATATGCGCGAAGCTATAACTTGCTTTTTCAAGTAAAGGAGATAACGCTAATCCTGGGTGCTAGCTTTTCTATTTCAGTGCAGCAGAATAATCTTATCATTTCTCTACATACTATGCATGTCTAAGGAGAGAAAAGAAATATCATTACTTGAAACTGTTGGGCCCACTGAATGTAGCAGTGTGCATATTTCTCATTACTGAAGACCATCTCCAACATTGCATCTCCAACATTTTCACCTCCATGTGTCAATCTGGAGACCTTGCTTTTTTGAAATCCTTTATGATCTTGCTATTAAAGGAAATCCAATGATTTAAGAAAAACATGTCTTTCAATAATATTGGAAATAGTTTAGTCTTATGAACAGCACAGCCAGGTTTTAGAATTAGAAGATTTTCTTTTAAAGCGACATTTTCAATTTAGTATCTAACAATATTGGCTCTGCTAAACACCATATTTTTCACACAATATCAATCTCAAACCAAAGCTAATTAGTCTGAGATAGTATGGTTGGCTAAGAATTCCTCCACGAGATCCCTTAATATTTGCATTCAACAGCACTGATCCAATGAGATCTACCCAGGTTTCCGCCTTTCAGCAATGCAAGAGAGACTCGTTTTTTAAAGACCCATATATGGAGACACCTGAACATCCATCCTCCAAGAAACCATTCTTACAGCATAGGCCCAATTTCAAGGCTTTAGAGCAGGGGTCCTCAAACTAAGGACCGGGGGCCAGATATGGCCCTCCAAGATCATTTACTCGGCCCTCACTCAGGGTCAATCTAAGTCTGAAACAACTTGAAAGCACACAACAACAACAACAATCCTATTTCATCAGCCAAAAGCAGACCCACACTTCCCATTGAAATACTAATAAGTTTATATTTGTTAAAATTGTTCTTCGTTTTAATTATTGTATTGTTTTTAAGTGTTTTTTTGCACTACAAATAAGATATGTGCAGTGTGCATAGGAATTCATTTTTTTCACATTATAATCCAGTCCTCCGARAGTTTGAGGGACTGTGACCTGGCCCTCTGTTTAAAAAGTTTGAGGACCCCTGCTTTAGAGGTTAGACGTAAAGATGGCCAGCTGAACAAATGAAATAGTCTTTATCTTTATGCAATAAGGAGAGTACATCTACCAAAGTCCTGGCTGCTCTGTTGTTATTTCAATATTTATATCCTTTTAAAAGACACCACAAAACTCTTTAACTGAGACACAAAAAGAGAAAAAGACACCGTATCATCATGAATGTCTTTTTTATATATATTCTCTAATCATATTCTCTCAAAGGAGCAGGCAAGATAAATCAAGATACTGACAAGATACAACACGGAAACTAAGTAACACTACACAGGCAACACTASCTTCAATTCACATTTGTGGTCCTGARATTTTGTGCCCCATTTAGATTCCTCTTATTTTATTTATTTATTTCAAACAATTATATCCCGTCCTTCTCACCCCCTCGGAGGGGGGGGGGGGACTCGGAGCGGCTCACAACCAGCAACCATTAGATGCCAAACACAACAATTATAATAAGAATTACAATTAAATTGATTTAGTCAAAATATCAATTATAAAACATCAATTTAAAATTACACTCTTATTTCCTGGAAGGACCCTTGCTCTCATTGTAATGCAACATGACCAAATCATACAAAGTTTTTGGTATGCCCTCTTGTGGCTAATAGAACCACCCACTTCTTCACAATGAATCATCATCAGAAAGAGGTAAGTCCTGCTTGTGGACACAACTGTCTAAAAGGCACAAAAAAGTCAAAAATGTAAATTTAGTAAAAGAGGTTGCTAACATTGTAACTTATGTAAATTATTCTAGAATGAAAAGCAGGTTGCTTATATATTGACTGGAATCTTACCATTGGAGCGGTGAATACATGTGTGTTGGTTATCACTCAGGAAAAAGCCTTCTTTGCATTGACATTCATAACTTCCCATTGTATTGACACAAATCTGTTGACATCCTCCATTGTTATCCAGGCATTCATCAACATCTAAAGTAAATATATATATGTTAATATGCATATCTACACACAACAAATACATGTGGTAAGTAGGATGTTAGTGCAAAAAATGCATGGCTTTGTTAAAGCAGAGATTGATCTGTAGATTATGAAACCATGGCTGCTTAATAATAATCCTGATGATCAAATTCCTAAGGCTACTTTTTTTTTAGTTTTTAAAAAAATGGGAGGGGGAGCTATGGATAGTCAGTTGAAGTGATGCTCAAATAGACTGCAAATGTGATGGTTTGGAAGCATCTAGAGCAGATGCAGGGAACTGGAGTGGGCTAAGCAACAGCATTTATTGAATAGAGGGAGAGAGGAAGAACATTTTAATTCCATAACTATTAACTGAATATATATGTATGTGTACTATGATTTGGATTTTTGCTGACTCTTCTTGTCATTTATTTACAATTTTGTTGTTGTGCACTTGCTATAATGGACTGGGAAGACCAAAGTAGAGGGTTCTTCTAGCAATTTTTTCCACATTGGGTTGTTGTAGGTTTTTTCGGGCTGTATGGCCATGGTCTAGAGGCATTCTCTCCTGACGTTTCGCCTGCATCTCTGGCAAGCATCCTCAGAGGTAGTGAGGTCTGTTGGAACTAGGAAAATGGGTTTATATATCTGTGGAGTGATCAGGGAATGACCAGCACAACAACAGAGAGGAAGCAGGCAGGGACATCTAATTACCTCTCAACAAAAGTTTGCTCCAGGCACAGTCAGCCCATTGTACGCTAATCAAGGTGGTCAGTTGAAACATTCACACTTAGCTCCAGCAGACAAAAGTCCTTTGTCCCACCCTGGTCATTCCACAGATATATAAAACCATTTTCCTACTTCCAACAGACCTCACTACCTCTGAGGATGCTTGCCATAGATGTAGGCGAAACGTCAGGAGAGAATGCCTCTAGACCATGGCCATACAGCCCGAAAAAACCTACAACAATCCACTGATTCCGGCCATGAAAGCCTTCGACAATACATTTTTCCACATTGTTTCTTAATTTTAAATGAGATGGTTTTTCTGGGGGAAAATAGTACTGGAAACTGCTCTCAATAACATTCTCTCATTTAGAAAGTTAGGTTTAGATGCTATATCAGACATGTTCAAAGCCTCGTGTAATTAATACAGTAAGAGAATAAAATATACCCTTATGTTTAATAATAATAAAAAAACCCGACAACACCAGAAAGACCCGTTGTTGGGGACACATACTTAAAATGAGTAGTACTTGTTACATTTTACATCAACAGTTTAACTTTCATTTGCCAAGGTACAATTTCAGTACTTTCAGCTTTACTCACTAACTTTCTGCAATGAGTTATCAAAGTTTGTCTCCTTGAAAGAATAACTACAAGTTTATAAACAATGTTTTCCCAACTATCTTGAAGAACACAGTATGACAACTAATGTATATGACAGGGAATGTATATTAATGGGCTATTAAGCATTAAAGTAGTATGAAGCTTTCAGTTCTGGAAGTTGCAGGCAGTACCCGAGTTACACATGACTTACACATGACTCGTAGTTAAGAACGGGGGTGAGACAACAGGAAGTGAGATAAATCTCTCCCTCAGAAGGGAAATTACTCCTGACAGAGTTGTCATGGGGGAAATGTGTTTCTACTGAAACTTTATCACCAGTCCTTGTTTCCACAAAATGCCAATATTTTCAAAATAACAGGGACATAAAGTGAGTTGAAACTTTCTGAACAGGAGCATAGACGGCAAAGCAAACACCACAGGGCTGTTAACCCTTCTCTGTTCTCTCCATAGCTTAAACCTACAGAACTTATCTTGTTTGTAACTTGGGGACCGCCTGCATATTCTTTTGAATCCCAAATACTGGACATTTAAAAAAAAAAAAGAGAAGGACGTCTATTCTAGTTAATCTGTGTATCTGACTAGGCATTTCTGGAAATGTAATGGTGGGTAAATGAATTATGAGGTGATCTATGAACACATTTTTAACCTGTGAGGCAAATGCCATGTACAATTCTGTTTTACAAATGCAAAACTGAGGCTAGTAGTGGCTAACTCAAGGACATACAAGGTACATGGTTTGGGCTCATGTCTCTCAGTATAAACACAGACTTTCCTCTATACCAGGTATTTTGTAAAATACATTTGCTACCATGTTTGGTCTGCCAATAGCATGACTGAAAGAAATATCCTGAAAAGCTATTTATACCTCTGAGGATGCCTGCCATAGATGCAGGCGAAACACCAGGAGAGAATGCTTCTAAGACATAGCCATATAGCCCAAAAAACAACCCAGTGATTCCGGCCATGAAAGCCTTCAACAATGCAGCTATTTATATGTTTGCTGAAGAAATCAGAATAAATATTACAAAGGAAAAGAACCACAAAAAGAAGCTGTAGTGCAAAAGCTCCCAGATTTCATTCAAACCATCATGCCTGAAACCTTTGAAGGCATTGCTGGCTGAACCAAAGTTTAACTTATTAAAATACATTTCCTATATTCCTATTGGGATGATCAATTATAATGAAAGAGAATGAAATGGCCAGGTAACTTTTCATTTCTTTTAAACATAACATTTTTCAAAACTAAGTGAAGTTGTCAAAGACTTCATCTTTCCCACATTTCTTTATGGGTGAACTCTGTTCAGAAAGATGTATTTCATGTACCGATCCAAAAACATCCTTCTGAAAGCAAAGATCCATGGTCTATTAAAAATAGTAGCCAACTGCTTATCAAATGTCAAGTGTATTGAATTTACTAGCCTGCAATTACCTGTAATCACTGCCATAATGCCATTGAATACTCATCTCCTTCCATAGTTCTAGCTCTGAACATTTCATATTTAGGCAATTTAAATTCACTTAATGGCGCTATTTGTAGAAGCAAATTGTTTTCTGCATCATTCTAACACTAGCTAAAAAGGAATGGGTATGACTGTAGCACTTTAAAAATCAATACATAAAAGGAAGCATATTTAAAGGTATTGACACAGTCCAAAGCTAAATTAAAATCTTTGTTCCTGCCATTTTGCAGATTGCAAGGGCAATTCAGTCTGTCTACTTAGCATCCAAGATAATGTCCAGATCCTTGAATTATTCCAAGCCTCTTATAACAATATTGGCCACTCTATACCCTTAAAATAAAAATGTAAAAGGAAATTATGTGACAAAAATCAAATACAATGGAATTAGAGAAAAAAGTTTAATGGTAGTATTGTATTCTTGTTCCCTCCTTTCTTTTTCTCGTAACATCGAATACCAAAATTATCACATTGTGCATTTCTCTCTTCCTATTATCAAAAGTCAGTACAACAATACTGAGAAGTACATAATGTGATGAAATCAAACCTGATGTTACAAGGGAAGGGAGAGAAAGAGCTCTATGTCTCCTATGAAACATATTTCTACGCTTTCTCTATGGTCTGATCAGGTGCTAGAACTCTAGATAGTATCTTTCAAAATGATGAAGTAACATCCATTTTTAATGTTCTATTATGAAAAAGAAACAGGAAAGAGATCCACTATGTTGGTCATCCAGTAAACATCTATCTATTTGTCTGGCCCAACAAAGGTATCATTGTTTTTTTTTAATAATTAATTTTTATTAATTTTCAAGAATCTAGTTTAAACAAATTGGAAATAATAAACACAGATACAAAAACATTAAAAAAAACCCCAAAGGAATCAAATACAAAATTAATCCCAATAACTTTCCCTCCCCATAACTCCCCTCCACCCTTAGGATCAGGAAGGCCTAAAAAAAACCCGGAAAAAATTAAGGAAATAACAGTTTTTTCCCCATTTTTTCCAAAGCCATTTTTCCAGGAAAATTGAAAAGTGTGTAGAATATGTTATTTTCCAGTGATAAATAATATATCTACAACATGGTATTCAAACTATATATATATACAATGAAGACTTTAATGAAAGATTTCTGAGGCTTTCTGTTTCTACACACTTTTTAAAAAAATGCAGAAAAATGACTTTTGAAATAAACAGAAACACCCTCCCCCCAACTTTTCCATTTTTTTCAAGGCCTTCCCATCTCTAACCACTCCTTCTAACTAAAACGAACAAATAAACTATTTTCTTCATTTAAAAATATGGTAAGTATTTTTTAAATTTTGTTTTATATCCCATCCTCTTTCCCTCACTGTGGGAATCAGTAAATAAAAAAATAAATAAAACTGTCTTCTCCCCTCTTCAAGCAAAGAAAGCTATGAAACTGTTGTAATATATTCAACTCTACTTAGCAGCATTAAAACTTCTGCCAAATGGTGACAAATATATTTAAAATTAATATATAACCAAGGATCAATAAACAGACACAAGCTTTCAATGACAGTTTATCAAAATTCCCTCTAAACCTGGAGACCAATTGGCAACAACTTAATACAGAGCATTACAGATAGCCAGCCTGCAAATGTTAGCCTGCCTTGGCCTGGAGTACTTTGTTTCAAACTGAGGTAAAGGTTCTATAAATATTTCTATGTTTGAATTGAGTTATGTCAAATAAATACCTCTGATTTTGGTTTCGACCCATCTGTGTCTCATTCTATCCTTTAGGACCTGACACACTTGATCCCGAACCCACGATTCTTGTGGTAGCTGAAATCATTCAATATCGCTATATGGCTGGAACGTACTTTTTTTCAGATGACACACTGCAGAGTGAGCATGGTGCAATGGTTTGAATGTTGGCATAGCTTTCCTGGAGACCAGAGTCCAAACCCTCACTGAGCTATGAAAGCCAATTGATTGGGAAAGTCGCACTTTCTCAAAATTAGAGGAACTCAATGGCAAACTTCCCCCTATAATAGTAGGAGTAGGAGGAGTAACAACAACAACAACAACTTTATTTTATAGCCTGCCACCATCTCCCCAAAGAGACTTGAGGTGGTTTACAAAGGGAGAAGCCCGAAGTACAGATTAAAACAAACACAATAAATAAAATCTACAACAACACATCAGAAAAAAACATTTCACAGTCACAACAGTATTTTAAA